AATTCACTCCGTCATCACTAATTCACCTTTTTTCAAAACCGGTGTCAAGTATAATATCAGAGTTTTTCGCCCAGTGTGGGCGTAGTTTGATTCCAAAAAAGCTGAGACTTGCCATGATAAAATCTTAGGAGGTTACCTTTCGAATGGTGTATGTCTTGTCAATTCACTCCGTCATCACTAATTCACTTTTTTTCAAACTGATGTCTAGTATAATATCAGAGTTTTTCGCCCAGTGTGGGCGTAGTTTGATTCCAAAAAAGCTGAGACTTGCCATGATAAAATCTTAGGAGGTTACCTTTCGAATGGTGTATGTCTTGTCAATTCACTCCGTCATCACTAATTCACTTTTTTTCAAAACTGATGTCTAGTATAATATCAGAGTTTTTCGCCCAGTGTGGGCGTAGTTTGATTCCAAAAAAGCTGAGACTTGCCATGATAAAATCTTAGGAGGTTACCTTTCGAATGGTGTATGTCTTGTCAATTCACTCCGTCATCACTAATTCACTTTTTTTCAAACTGATGTCTAGTATAATATCAGAGTTTTTCGCCCAGTGTGGGCGTAGTTTGATTCCAAAAAAGCTGAGACTTGCCATGATAAAATCCTAGGAGGTTACCTTTCGAATGGTGTATGTCTTGTCAATTCACTCCGTCATCACTAATTCACCTTTTTTCAAAACTGATGTCTAGTATAATATCAGAGTTTTTCGCCCAGTGTGGGCGTAGTTTGATTCCAAAAAAGCTGAGACTTGCCATGATAAAATCTTAGGAGGTTACCTTTCGAATGGTGTATGTCTTGTCAATTCACTCCGTCATCACTAATTCACTTTTTTTTCAAACTGATGTCTAGTATAATATCAGAGTTTTTCGCCCAGTGTGGGCGTAGTTTGATTCCAAAAAAGCTGAGACTTGCCATGATAAAATCCTAGGAGGTTACCTTTCGAATGGTGTATGTCTTGTCAATTCACTCCGTCATCACTAATTCACCTTTTTTTCAAAACTGATGTCTAGTATAATATCAGAGTTTTTCGCCCAGTGTGGGCGTAGTTTGATTCCAAAAAAGCTGAGACTTGCCATGATAAAATCTTAGGAGGTTACCTTTCGAATGGTGTATGTCTTGTCAATTCACTCCGTCATCACTAATTCACTTTTTTTCAAACTGATGTCTAGTATAATATCAGAGTTTTTCGCCCAGTGTGGGCGTGGTTTGATTCCAAAAAAGCTGAGACTTGCCATGATAAAATCTTAGGAGGTTACCTTTCGAATGGTGTATGTCTTGTCAATTCACTCCGTCATCACTAATTCACTTTTTTTTCAAACTGATGTCTAGTATAATATCAGAGTTTTTCGCCCAGTGTGGGCGTAGTTTGATTCCAAAAAAGCTGAGACTTGCCATGATAAAATCTTAGGAGGTTACCTTTCGAATGGTGTATGTCTTGTCAATTCACTCCGTCATCACTAATTCACTTTTTTTCAAACTGATGTCTAGTATAATATCAGAGTTTTTCGCCCAGTGTGGGCGTAGTTTGATTCCAAAAAAGCTGAGACTTGCCATGATAAAATCTTAGGAGGTTACCTTTCGAATGGTGTATGTCTTGTCAATTCACTCCGTCATCACTAATTCACTTTTTTTCAAACTGATGTCTAGTATAATATCAGAGTTTTTCGCCCAGTGTGGGCGTAGTTTGATTCCAAAAGAGCTGAGACTTGCCATCATAAAATCTTAGGAGGTTACCTTTCGAATGGTGTATGTCTTGTCAATTCACTCCGTCATCACTAATTCACCTTTTTTCAAACTGGTATCTAGTATAATATCAGAGTTTTTCGCCCAGTGTGGGCGTGGTTTGATTCCAAAAAAGCTGAGACTTGCCATGATAAAATCTTAGGAGGTTACCTTTCGAATGGTGTATGTCTTGTCAATTCACTCCGTCATCACTAATTCACTTTTTTTTCAAACTGATGTCTAGTATAATATCAGAGTTTTTCGCCCAGTGTGGGCGTAGTTTGATTCCAAAAAAGCTGAGACTTGCCATGATAAAATCCTAGGAGGTTACCTTTCGAATGGTGTATGTCTTGTCAATTCACTCCGTCATCACTAATTCACTTTTTTTCAAACTGATGTCTAGTATAATATCAGAGTTTTTCGCCCAGTGTGGGCGTAGTTTGATTCCAAAAAAGCTGAGACTTGCCATGATAAAATCTTAGGAGGTTACCTTTCGAATGGTGTATGTCTTGTCAATTCACTCCGTCATCACTAATTCACTTTTTTTCAAACTGATGTCTAGTATAATATCAGAGTTTTTCGCCCAGTGTGGGCGTAGTTTGATTCCAAAAAAGCTGAGACTTGCCATGATAAAATCTTAGGAGGTTACCTTTCGAATGGTGTATGTCTTGTCAATTCACTCCGTCATCACTAATTCACTTTTTTTCAAACTGATGTCTAGTATAATATCAGAGTTTTTCGCCCAGTGTGGGCGTAGTTTGATTCCAAAAAAGCTGAGACTTGCCATGATAAAATCTTAGGAGGTTACCTTTCGAATGGTGTATGTCTTGTCAATTCACTCCGTCATCACTAATTCACTTTTTTTCAAAACTGATGTCTAGTATAATATCAGAGTTTTTCGCCCAGTGTGGGCGTGGTTTGATTCCAAAAAAGCTGAGACTTGCCATGATAAAATCCTAGGAGGTTACCTTTCGAATGGTGTATGTCTTGTCAATTCACTCCGTCATCACTAATTCACTTTTTTTCAAACTGATGTCTAGTATAATATCAGAGTTTTTCGCCCAGTGTGGGCGTAGTTTGATTCCAAAAAAGCTGAGACTTGCCATGATAAAATCTTAGGAGGTTACCTTTCGAATGGTGTATGTCTTGTCAATTCACTCCGTCATCACTAATTCACTTTTTTTTCAAACTGATGTCTAGTATAATATCAGAGTTTTTCGCCCAGTGTGGGCGTAGTTTGATTCCAAAAAAGCTGAGACTTGCCATGATAAAATCTTAGGAGGTTACCTTTCGAATGGTGTATGTCTTGTCAATTCACTCCGTCATCACTAATTCACTTTTTTTCAAACTGATGTCTAGTATAATATCAGAGTTTTTCGCCCAGTGTGGGCGTAGTTTGATTCCAAAAAAGCTGAGACTTGCCATGATAAAATCTTAGGAGGTTACCTTTCGAATGGTGTATGTCTTGTCAATTCACTCCGTCATCACTAATTCACCTTTTTTCAAAACCGGTGTCTAGTATAATATCAGAGTTTTTCGCCCAGTGTGGGCGTGGTTTGATTCCAAAAAAGCTGAGACTTGCCATGATAAAATCTTAGGAGGTTACCTTTCGAATGGTGTATGTCTTGTCAATTCACTCCGTCATCACTAATTCACTTTTTTTCAAACTGATGTCTAGTATAATATCAGAGTTTTTCGCCCAGTGTGGGCGTAGTTTGATTCCAAAAAAGCTGAGACTTGCCATGATAAAATCTTAGGAGGTTACCTTTCGAATGGTGTATGTCTTGTCAATTCACTCCGTCATCACTAATTCACCTTTTTTCAAAACCGGTGTCAAGTATAATATCAGAGTTTTTCGCCCAGTGTGGGCGTAGTTTGATTCCAAAAAAGCTGAGACTTGCCATGATAAAATCTTAGGAGGTTACCTTTCGAATGGTGTATGTCTTGTCAATTCACTCCGTCATCACTAATTCACTTTTTTTCAAACTGATGTCTAGTATAATATCAGAGTTTTTCGCCCAGTGTGGGCGTAGTTTGATTCCAAAAAAGCTGAGACTTGCCATGATAAAATCTTAGGAGGTTACCTTTCGAATGGTGTATGTCTTGTCAATTCACTCCGTCATCACTAATTCACCTTTTTTCAAAACTGATGTCTAGTATAATATCAGAGTTTTTCGCCCAGTGTGGGCGTGGTTTGATTCCAAAAAAGCTGAGACTTGCCATGATAAAATCTTAGGAGGTTACCTTTCGAATGGTGTATGTCTTGTCAATTCACTCCGTCATCACTAATTCACTTTTTTTCAAACTGATGTCTAGTATAATATCAGAGTTTTTCGCCCAGTGTGGGCGTAGTTTGATTCCAAAAAAGCTGAGACTTGCCATGATAAAATCCTAGGAGGTTACCTTTCGAATGGTGTATGTCTTGTCAATTCACTCCGTCATCACTAATTCACCTTTTTTCAAAACTGGTGTCTAGTATAATATCAGAGTTTTTCGCCCAGTGTGGGCGTAGTTTGATTCCAAAAAAGCTGAGACTTGCCATGATAAAATCTTAGGAGGTTACCTTTCGAATGGTGTATGTCTTGTCAATTCACTCCGTCATCACTAATTCACCTTTTTTCAAAACCGGTGTCAAGTATAATATCAGAGTTTTTCGCCCAGTGTGGGCGTGGTTTGATTCCAAAAAAGCTGAGACTTGCCATGATAAAATCTTAGGAGGTTACCTTTCGAATGGTGTATGTCTTGTCAATTCACTCCGTCATCACTAATTCACTTTTTTTCAAACTGATGTCTAGTATAATATCAGAGTTTTTCGCCCAGTGTGGGCGTAGTTTGATTCCAAAAAAGCTGAGACTTGCCATGATAAAATCTTAGGAGGTTACCTTTCGAATGGTGTATGTCTTGTCAATTCACTCCGTCATCACTAATTCACCTTTTTTTCAAAACTGATGTCTAGTATAATATCAGAGTTTTTCGCCCAGTGTGGGCGTGGTTTGATTCCAAAAAAGCTGAGACTTGCCATGATAAAATCCTAGGAGGTTACCTTTCGAATGGTGTATGTCTTGTCAATTCACTCCGTCATTTCTAATTCACTTTTTTTTCAAACTGATGAATGGGAAAATAAATGCTCTGCTCCTCCAAACGATTCCACAGGCAATTCCCCTAGATAATCACGGGACAAACTCCCAATATATTCCACACAAATAACCCACACGAATAAATGCCAATACTATTTATCCACGCAATTCCCAATCACAATCAAAACCCAAACAAGCCAGTATCAAAAGGTAGTGTCTTCGTCCAACGGAGCTCTGACGGCCAACCGCACGCTCAGATTCCTCCGTTCCAACCGTTCTATCCTCTTCACCGTCCAACGTTCCCCAAAATCCTCCTTTTTCCCATAGTGGCGGAATGCCAAGGTTTCCAAATGTCTCCGTGGCTGGGCGCAGGTTGGCTCCGAATGTTGCTGAGTCGGCTGGGGCCTCACACGCCCCTCCCTTAATGTGACGGCGTCCCGACGTCATATCATCGATTCCAGTGGCACGGGGGTTCAGAATGGGGTTGGTAGTCGGGATGAGGCATCGTTGGGTTCGGGTTGGCGGGCTTGGACTGGCGGGATCGGATTGGCAGGATTGGATTGGCACAAAGGAACAAAAAATAAAGAACACGGCAAAAATCTGAAAATAAGTAATATTAAAAAGTCAAATGAAGTCCCTAAATACCCCTGGCTCCCCCCTCAATAACCAAACGACGTCCCGGCGTTTTCAGAAAGCTTTTGCGCATTCCTGAAACAGGGCCAAAATGTCATCAGATTTGACTTTTTACCGGAACATAATAAATAAACAGAAAATTTGTTAATCAAAAACAGAAATACCTTCGAAATAAGACAACAAATAGCAATAAAATACGGTATTCCCACGGTTGAATAGCAATTGACAATACACTTTGCCATATACGTCCACATAACTTCGAAAGATTTGAATTTTGTGCCTTTCCCCTCAATTCTCGAGTAACAAAACCACTCTATCGAGCTCTTCTTATCGAATCCCCCACTCAAACTATGATTTTGTTCCAAAAACTTGAATTTACAACCTTTGACGGGAAGGAATGACTTCTGAAACCCACAATCGTTTTGACAAATATCAGAGATCTGAATGACACTGTCGATTTTTGGCACTAATTCCAGGGGAAATGACTCACTTATTTTGTCAGAAATCCCAAAATTATTCGCTCTTCGAAGGCTAACACCAATTTTTGAACACCGTTCTTCAGGGACTTGAGTATTGAACCATTTTCTATAGACGGAGTTATCCAATATCTCTTCAAAATCCAAATATTTCCTTTCCTGCTCGTGACTCCAACTCATGAATACAGATTTTGACAGTTCCAAGGTGTAGTCCGTCTGTAGGTGAACTTTTGTAGGCCGACCTGAAATCTCTGGCTCAGCAAATAACGTTTCAAGATCTCCAAATTCAATTCCACTGACGTTTTCGTCCGTTTTCTCGGGATCTGAGTATGTTCTGAAAGTTTCCTGACGTGCTTTTCGCTGGGTGTCTTCACGGTTCTCAACCTTGTTTATCATGAGGCTCTCGATTTCCTTGATTTCAGGACTTGCATTCGATCTTGGATTCCATGGACCTGCTGAAATGATTCGAGATAAGGTTGGGAACCTTTTATTCGCCTTGTTATTTGGGTGTGTGCATGATGATTTCTTTCTCTGTTTCTCGAGGTAATCTCGTCTTTTATAACAGTCTTTTCCTATGTGAGTTCCCCTATGACAATAGTAACACTGCGGTCGCGCTTGAATACTGTTGTTGTATTTACCCGGCTCTGGCTTGCGCGAATTTAGTGCAGGCCGGGGCTCTGAAAATCCTGATTTTGATCACCCCTTGAATTTCTATTATCGCCCGGAATCTCAGGATATTGTCGGTTGCCTGTGGTTAACGAGTTCCTCGGAAAGTCTTGCAGCGCTGGGTTAGGGTTGCTGAAGTTGCTGTCAGCTTCAATTGACTGTTGCGGGCGAACTAGGTGTTCATTGTCTTTATTAAACTGATACACATTGACGGCGATCTGGACCATTTCTTCAAATGGCAAATTTTTGTGTTTTTCCGCCGCTAAGGCATTACCCGCTTCCCTATGATTGAGACCGATCATAAATTTAGATAACATTTGTTTTTCCATGATCTCCTTTGGGGCTCCCGCAAACGCATTGATAGTCATGTCCGTAATTTTGTCTGCATATTCGCGCATTGACATGTCGTATCGCCTGTAGAAGGGTTTTAAAAAGATAGACGCCCAATCTTTGTTGTCAGATGTTCGAGCTTTCACCTCCTTCTCGAAACTTTCAAAGACCTCATCAAAATTCCCGCTACTTGATGACAGTTTACAATGCTCGAAGATTCTCGCAGCCTGATCATTTAACTTTGCCTCGAGAAGATCTGTTTTCTCGGATGAGGACATGTTTTTTGTTCCCGCCTTGAACTTATAGAAAAATCTCGCTATGTCACTCGACTTTTCTCGACCACTTAAACTTGGAAGGCGCATATCCAGGAACATAAGCTCCGCAAAGTCAATCCTTTGTCTACTCGTCTCAGAACTCTCTGGTGCCTGCTGCGGGCTTGGAGGCGCTGCTGCTGCTTGCAAGGTCGCAGTTTTATTTAACAGCTCAATTAGTCGATCTAAATTCTTTTCGACCGCTGCCTGCCGTTGTTCGGCCGCTTCCGCGCGTGCCCTAGATTCTCCGATGAAATCTTCCAGCTTCCTCTCTACATTTTCCCCAGCTTTTAAGTCCCCACCATCCATTTTCTAAATATTCAACACTAATAGTCAAAATCTTACCGAATGTTGTCAGTTGGTTTGTCAGGGAACTGCTCTTGTCCTTCTCGAGGTCTTTGTGCTTCTCCTGGAGCCTTATGGGCGACTTCGGACCGAGTTTTTGCCTGAAATATCAAGTATAATATCGAGTCAAAATTCTCGAAAAAATTCACCAATTTCGCGGAAAATTCACAACCCTTCACGTGTGGCACGATAAACCCTTCCAATAAATATAAGAATCACAAATCAATTCAACTTCAAAACCAAATGGCACCCAAATCCGTTTGGATACCTAAAATAATATCCAACTCAAATTTACTCAAAGGTTACGCAAAAGAACGCGACTTTTCTTGCTCGAACGATTTCTCTAATCGATAACACAGCTCACGAATGCCAAAAGAACTTGATTGGCTCGTGTATGATACCAAGTACTATATTGTACTAGACCGAAGGCAAAATTTCCGGGATTTCTTGGCGGAAAATGTTCAAAAGTGGCTGAATAATCTTTTACCACGCAAGATCTTTTCCTTCTCACAGATCTGCAGCTGTTTTGACCACGGATTTCTTAGGATCAAAACAGTTTTTCCTTCCGAGTTTACCTTTCTTTGGGCTCGTCAGGTCCGACTCCACACAATTTCTTGCAGTGTGAATTCGGTTTCAACCTCACTCTGATTTCTTACGGTGAGGCTGAATCAGATAAGACCGTGATTTCTTTTGGTCAATATCTGAGTTCGTCGGAATTATTTCTTGTTCCGCCGAAACACAACGCGATCGATCTACGAACGTCGAGTGGCCGCCGTTCGTGGTCGCCAAATGGGAAAATAAATGCTCTGCTCCTCCAAACGATTCCACAGGCAATTCCCCTAGATAATCACGGGACAAACTCCCAATATATTCCACACAAATAACCCACACGAATAAATGCCAATACTATTTATCCACGCAATTCCCAATCACAATCAAAACCCAAACAAGCCAGTATCAAAAGGTAGTGTCTTCGTCCAACGGAGCTCTGACGGCCAACCGCACGCTCAGATTCCTCCGTTCCAACCGTTCTATCCTCTTCACCGTCCAACGTTCCCCAAAATCCTCCTTTTTCCCATAGTGGCGGAATGCCAAGGTTTCCAAATGTCTCCGTGGCTGGGCGCAGGTTGGCTCCGAATGTTGCTGAGTCGGCTGGGGCCTCACAGATGTCTAGTATAATATCAGAGTTTTTCGCCCAGTGTGGGCGTAGTTTGATTCCAAAAAAGCTGAGACTTGCCATGATAAAATCTTAGGAGGTTACCTTTCGAATGGTGTATGTCTTGTCAATTCACTCCGTCATCACTAATTCACCTTTTTTCAAAACCGGTGTCAAGTATAATATCAGAGTTTTTCGCCCAGTGTGGGCGTGGTTTGATTCCAAAAAAGCTGAGACTTGCCATGATAAAATCTTAGGAGGTTACCTTTCGAATGGTGTATGTCTTGTCAATTCACTCCGTCATCACTAATTCACTTTTTTTTCAAACTGATGTCTAGTATAATATCAGAGTTTTTCGCCCAGTGTGGGCGTAGTTTGATTCCAAAAAAGCTGAGACTTGCCATGATAAAATCCTAGGAGGTTACCTTTCGAATGGTGTATGTCTTGTCAATTCACTCCGTCATCACTAATTCACCTTTTTTCAAAACCGGTGTCAAGTATAATATCAGAGTTTTTCGCCCAGTGTGGGCGTGGTTTGATTCCAAAAAAGCTGAGACTTGCCATGATAAAATCTTAGGAGGTTACCTTTCGAATGGTGTATGTCTTGTCAATTCACTCCGTCATCACTAATTCACTTTTTTTCAAACTGATGTCTAGTATAATATCAGAGTTTTTCGCCCAGTGTGGGCGTAGTTTGATTCCAAAAAAGCTGAGACTTGCCATGATAAAATCTTAGGAGGTTACCTTTCGAATGGTGTATGTCTTGTCAATTCACTCCGTCATCACTAATTCACTTTTTTTTCAAACTGATGTCTAGTATAATATCAGAGTTTTTCGCCCAGTGTGGGCGTAGTTTGATTCCAAAAAAGCTGAGACTTGCCATGATAAAATCCTAGGAGGTTACCTTTCGAATGGTGTATGTCTTGTCAATTCACTCCGTCATCACTAATTCACCTTTTTTCAAAACCGGTGTCAAGTATAATATCAGAGTTTTTCGCCCAGTGTGGGCGTGGTTTGATTCCAAAAAAGCTGAGACTTGCCATGATAAAATCTTAGGAGGTTACCTTTCGAATGGTGTATGTCTTGTCAATTCACTCCGTCATCACTAATTCACCTTTTTTCAAACTGGTGTCAAGTATAATATCAGAGTTTTTCGCCCAGTGTGGGCGTAGTTTGATTCCAAAAAAGCTGAGACTTGCCATGATAAAATCCTAGGAGGTTACCTTTCGAATGGTGTATGTCTTGTCAATTCACTCCGTCATCACTAATTCACCTTTTTTCAAAACCGGTGTCAAGTATAATATCAGAGTTTTTCGCCCAGTGTGGGCGTGGTTTGATTCCAAAAAAGCTGAGACTTGCCATGATAAAATCTTAGGAGGTTACCTTTCGAATGGTGTATGTCTTGTCAATTCACTCCGTCATCACTAATTCACTTTTTTTTCAAACTGATGTCTAGTATAATATCAGAGTTTTTCGCCCAGTGTGGGCGTAGTTTGATTCCAAAAAAGCTGAGACTTGCCATGATAAAATCTTAGGAGGTTACCTTTCGAATGGTGTATGTCTTGTCAATTCACTCCGTCATCACTAATTCACCTTTTTTCAAAACCGGTGTCAAGTATAATATCAGAGTTTTTCGCCCAGTGTGGGCGTGGTTTGATTCCAAAAAAGCTGAGACTTGCCATGATAAAATCTTAGGAGGTTACCTTTCGAATGGTGTATGTCTTGTCAATTCACTCCGTCATCACTAATTCACTTTTTTTCAAACTGATGTCTAGTATAATATCAGAGTTTTTCGCCCAGTGTGGGCGTAGTTTGATTCCAAAAAAGCTGAGACTTGCCATGATAAAATCTTAGGAGGTTACCTTTCGAATGGTGTATGTCTTGTCAATTCACTCCGTCATCACTAATTCACTTTTTTTCAAACTGATGTCTAGTATAATATCAGAGTTTTTCGCCCAGTGTGGGCGTAGTTTGATTCCAAAAAAGCTGAGACTTGCCATGATAAAATCCTAGGAGGTTACCTTTCGAATGGTGTATGTCTTGTCAATTCACTCCGTCATCACTAATTCACCTTTTTTCAAAACCGGTGTCAAGTATAATATCAGAGTTTTTCGCCCAGTGTGGGCGTGGTTTGATTCCAAAAAAGCTGAGACTTGCCATGATAAAATCTTAGGAGGTTACCTTTCGAATGGTGTATGTCTTGTCAATTCACTCCGTCATCACTAATTCACCTTTTTTCAAAACCGGTGTCAAGTATAATATCAGAGTTTTTCGCCCAGTGTGGGCGTGGTTTGATTCCAAAAAAGCTGAGACTTGCCATGATAAAATCTTAGGAGGTTACCTTTCGAATGGTGTATGTCTTGTCAATTCACTCCGTCATCACTAATTCACTTTTTTTTCAAACTGATGTCTAGTATAATATCAGAGTTTTTCGCCCAGTGTGGGCGTAGTTTGATTCCAAAAAAGCTGAGACTTGCCATGATAAAATCTTAGGAGGTTACCTTTCGAATGGTGTATGTCTTGTCAATTCACTCCGTCATCACTAATTCACCTTTTTTCAAAACCGGTGTCAAGTATAATATCAGAGTTTTTCGCCCAGTGTGGGCGTGGTTTGATTCCAAAAAAGCTGAGACTTGCCATGATAAAATCTTAGGAGGTTACCTTTCGAATGGTGTATGTCTTGTCAATTCACTCCGTCATCACTAATTCACTTTTTTTTCAAACTGATGTCTAGTATAATATCAGAGTTTTTCGCCCAGTGTGGGCGTAGTTTGATTCCAAAAAAGCTGAGACTTGCCATGATAAAATCCTAGGAGGTTACCTTTCGAATGGTGTATGTCTTGTCAATTCACTCCGTCATCACTAATTCACTTTTTTTCAAACTGATGTCTAGTATAATATCAGAGTTTTTCGCCCAGTGTGGGCGTAGTTTGATTCCAAAAAAGCTGAGACTTGCCATGATAAAATCTTAGGAGGTTACCTTTCGAATGGTGTATGTCTTGTCAATTCACTCCGTCATCACTAATTCACCTTTTTTCAAAACCGGTGTCAAGTATAATATCAGAGTTTTTCGCCCAGTGTGGGCGTGGTTTGATTCCAAAAAAGCTGAGACTTGCCATGATAAAATCTTAGGAGGTTACCTTTCGAATGGTGTATGTCTTGTCAATTCACTCCGTCATCACTAATTCACTTTTTTTTCAAACTGATGTCTAGTATAATATCAGAGTTTTTCGCCCAGTGTGGGCGTAGTTTGATTCCAAAAAAGCTGAGACTTGCCATGATAAAATCTTAGGAGGTTACCTTTCGAATGGTGTATGTCTTGTCAATTCACTCCGTCATCACTAATTCACCTTTTTTCAAAACCGGTGTCAAGTATAATATCAGAGTTTTTCGCCCAGTGTGGGCGTGGTTTGATTCCAAAAAAGCTGAGACTTGCCATGATAAAATCTTAGGAGGTTACCTTTCGAATGGTGTATGTCTTGTCAATTCACTCCGTCATCACTAATTCACTTTTTTTCAAACTGATGTCTAGTATAATATCAGAGTTTTTCGCCCAGTGTGGGCGTAGTTTGATTCCAAAAAAGCTGAGACTTGCCATGATAAAATCCTAGGAGGTTACCTTTCG